AACCTCCCTGCTGAGTCGGAGGGTTTTGATTTCCCTCATTTTCCAGCTGTCATGACTAATTTCCTCATTTTATTTCCCTCCCAGGCTGGGTCCTGCTCTGTCTCTCAGCCTCTGCCCCGGGCACTGCCAAAGCTCTGCAGCTCTGGGACTGGAACTGGGGCAGAGACCCCCCAGGGGAATGTGGGGACCCCAAGGGTCCCCAACCTGGCCACTGCTCCTGGCTGCCAGTGGGGGGATCCTGGGATGGATGGATGGATGGATGGGTGGATGGGTGCATGGATGGATGGATGGATGATGGATGATGGATGCATAGATGGGGGTTGGATGGACAGATGGATAGAGGATGGGGAGAGGATGGATAGAGGACTGATGATGGACATGATGAATGATGGAGGAGTTGGATGGATGCAGGATGGGTGGATGGAGGGGTGGATGGATAGTGAGGGTTGGATGAGATGGATGATGGATGAGATGGGTGGATGGAGGATGCATGGAGGATGGATGGAGGGATGGATGAAGGATGGAGGCAATGGATTATGGACAGGATGGATGATGCAAGGATGGAGGATGGATAATGGACAGATGGGGTGGATAGATGGATGGATGATGGATGGATGGATAATGGATGCACAGATGGAAGGATGGATGGATGGAAGGACAGATGGATGGATGGAAAGAGGGATGGATGGAGGGGTGGGTGGATGGATGGGTGGGCGGATGGATGGAAGGATGGGTCCAGCCAGGCCAGGCTCCATGGCCTCAGGCTGGGAGAAGAGCCTGGCACTGCTCCCAGGGCCGGTGGAGCCGCAGGTGGGGCCCAGAGCAGGGCCCAGAGCAGGGCCCAGAGCAGGGCCCAGAGCAGGACCCAGAGCAGGGTAGGCAGCACCAGCACCAGAGCTCTCCATGGCACAGCCAAACCCCACACAGGGCACAGCCCACACCTGCCTCCTGGCACCACCAGGACCATCCAGGGGTGCTCCGGGTGCCCCGAGCCCTCAGGGTGCCAGGGGTGTCCCTGCTCTGACTGTCACAGGGCTGTGGCACTGACTCAGTGCCTGCTGGGGGGCACCACGGAGACCCCGGGGTGGCCCCGGGGTGGCCCCACAACGAGCACCCACGGCAGGGGCTGCACCCACCCCGTCCCCCCAGGGACAGCCCCGGCTGGGCCGTGGGAGCTGCACACGTGGGACAGGGGAGCAGGGCACGGGGGTGTGGGGTCTGTGGGGT